TGAGTGCGTGAAGGAAGCGATACAGGGAAGCAACAAGAGACGGAGACTTCGAGGAAGGCAAACAGCAGCAGCAGCAGCAGCAGCAGCAGAGACACAAAGCAGAAACAGAGAGAGAGAGCAGAAAATGACAAAGTAGCTGAAGCAGCAGCAGCAGCAGCAGCAGCAGATCGGAGACAGATGAAAGTAAAAGAGAGAAAGAGATAAAAAGAGACGAAAACACAAAGGAGACATCATCAGGCAGCAGCTACAGGAGAGAAAAATACAGGACCGCAAAATAAGGGTTTAGGGTTTAGGGTTTAGGGTTTGGGGTTTAGGGCCAGGGGGGAGGAACCCGCCCAAACCCTAAACCCCACGAGCACCGCAGAAGGCAAGAAGAAATTTAAAAAATTAAAAGAAAGGAAAAAAAAAATAAAAAGAAATAAAAAGCAATAAGAAATACAAAGAAACGGGAAAATAAAAAGAAATAAAAAGAAGGAAGAAACAAAGAAATAAAAAGAAATAAAAAGAAATAAAGAGAAATAAAAAGAACTGAAAAGAACTAAAAAGAAATAAAAACAAATAAAAAGAAAATAAAAAGAATTAAAACAAACAAAAAGAGAAAAAGAAAACGAAAATAAAACACAAAAAGAACGGACCAAGCCACCAAGAAACAAACAACAAACAAACACAAACAAACAACAAACCAAACAACAAACCAAACAAAGAAACAACAATTAATCTTATTTATTTATTATTATTTACTTATTATTCACTATTATTTGTTATTTATTATTTATTATTTATTTGTTATTATTTATTATTTATCTTTTGTTTAAAAAGATCTGACGGCCTTGGCGGCGCCCTCGGCGAGGGCCTGCAGGAAGGGCGTGGGGACTTGGGAAATGAAATTGAAATAAAAAAAAGAATAAATTTTGTTTTTCAAATCTTTTAAAATCAACTCCAAGTTTTTGCTGCTGCTGCCAATCAAGTAAACCGCAGGGGCCTCCAAAATGGAGGACCGGGGGGCCCCCAGGCTCAGCGGCAGGGTCACCCCGTGCCGCCGCAGCACGCCCACCTGCGCAAACCCTAAACCCTAAACCCTAAACCCTAAACCCTAAACCCTAGGCCCTAGACCCTGGACGCTGGAGGCTGAAGGGGGGGCTGGTGGGAGGGGGGCAGGAGGGGAAAGGGGGAGGACAACGCAGGGAAACCCACGCGCGGGACCATAACCCTTAAACACCGCAAACCCTAAACCCTAAACCCTAAACCCTAAACCCTAAACACTAGCGGGACTCGCTTCGGCGCCGCCGAAAGCCCAGGCGACGACTTCGCTCCCCATCCACGCCCCAAACCCTAAACCCTAAACCCTACACCGGCAAAGACCCCAAACCCTTAACCCTAAACCCTAACCCCTAAACCCTAAACCCTCACGGTCATCAGGGGAGCCAGAATATCCTTCGCAGCCTCGTCGAAGATCAGGACCTTCCAGGGCCCCCCCCCCGGCTGCTGGGGGCCCCCCGAGAGGGGCCCCCTGGGGCCCCCAAAGGCGCTGTTTTGGGGTTTTCGCAGCTGCAGCATTTCCTGCAGTGCTGCAGTTTGTCTTTGCTCCAAATCGAAGGACATTTTGCTGCTGCTCTCGGGTGTACGTACACCTCAGGACCCCACACACCAGCTGCGCAACGCAGGGGCCCCTTCTGCTGCTCTGCTGCAAGTGCGGGGAGCGCAGCCAGCGCAGCCGTCGAGGGTTTAGGGTTTAGGGATTAGGGTTTAGGGTTTAGGGTTTGCGCTTGGGAGCCACGGCGCCCCGACTGCCCCAGCTGCTCCCTTCACTGAAGCTTAATGCACTAAACACACTCAAAAAAAGAAAAAGAAAAGAAATAAAACAAAAAATGCAGCTGCAGCAGCTGCAGCAGCAGCAGCAGCAGCAGCAGCAGCAGCAGCGTCCCAATGTCGGCGCCGAGCCGCGCCGGCAGCTGGGGGTCACGAGCGGGAGTTGAGGGTTTAGGGTTTAGGGTTTAGGGTTTATGATTTAATTTTTATTGTTCTTCTCATTGCGCTTCTGTCTTTGCTGGCAGCCATCCACCTGCTGGGGGCCCCCGCTGCCCCCAGCAATGCAGCAGCAGCAGGGGCCCCCAAGGGGCCCCCATGGGGGCCCCGCGGGCCCCCCATGGGGGGCCCCAGGGACCCCCGGGGGGCCCCATCATATTTTTTGACCTTTACATTTGTCAAGAGCAGCAGTTTGGTACATCCAGAAAAGCCTCGTGCTGCGGCGGCTGCTGCTGCTGCTGCT